GGAGAAAATTTGCAGAGTCATTTCTGGATAGAAATAATGACATTGAGGGCAAAGAAAGGAGATCACCTGAAAGAATTCCATCTATTACTTTAAATGTAAATTCTTTGCTGACATCAAGAGGCTCTTGATAGTCCTTCGATGGCCATAAAGAAGGATAACCAGTCCCCCTAAAGAATTAAAACCGCAGTTACTCAAAACATTAAAGAACAATAGAAATAACAAAATTTGTAGGACATACATCCTGACTTCTGTTTTGCAATATTTATCGGTGTTTGTTGTGTGTATTTGATCACAAGTATTTTAGCATATGTTAAATATGCAAGACCAGCTATTTATGATAATTTGGGTCATGCAAACCTCATAGAGAGTTGCTAAAATCAAGAGGATGTTGACAATCCTTCGATGGCCATAAAGAAGAATAACTAGTACTCGTAGAGAATTAAAATTGCAGTTACTCAAAAAATTATAGGACAAGGCGAATAAAAAGCATGTAAACTCATTGACACACATCCTGACTTCAATTTTGCAATATTATCCGTGTTTGTTGTGTGTATTCGAACACCAGTATTTTAGTATAGATTAAATATGCAAGACTGATCATTTATGATAATTTGGGTCACGCAAAGCACATAGATAGTTTCTTTGTCAATGGTGGCCTTGCAATTTAATGGAACATTTGACAAAAGCTGATAGTGGCTCCATGAGCAACTCCTGTTTAATTCCAATTCTCTTGCAGGAACTAGGCAGAAAAACCATACATTATTGCATGCAACTTTCTGCCATACTGTTTGTCCTGGTCTTGGAATTTCCTTCCAACTTTAAGTTGCGTCACAACCTTTTAATAAAGAGAATTTGAAACTATTCTTATTTCTTCTAGAAGAGATGAAATTATGCGGTTTAGCTATTGCACAAAATGTTGTTTCAATGTTCTCCACTCTACCTGTGTTAATGTAATCGTAGCTAAAAGTACCAGTCTAAAGCATGGTCAATTATCAGAAGCTTAACTTTTATTTGTAGCTTTCATTCACTGAATAAGAAAATACAGTCAGATACTTCCATAGTCACTTTAAAAATTACTAACTGCAATTCCCAAAGAACCTTTATGACAGGCAAAAAATAAGCATCTTCATCTACTATGAAGTATTGCTCATTTGCGAAAAAAAGCATATTACTAACAAGAACAAAAATGTATTTTAAGAATGGCGAAAGCATATACTACCATGAGCTAGCATGTCCTGGAACATCAATTTCAGCCAATACATTTACTCCTCTTTGTTGCGCATAACTGCAAAGATTAAAAATAAACAAAAAAAAAAAAATTAAAGTACTCAGAATAGTAATTATTATTTGGATCATGTGAGAAAGAGGAAAATCACATGCCGCACAACTTCAGCGGCATCGGCCAGTGTATATCGTTCTGAAGGTGAATAAGCACCGTCCCACAGTTTAGGATATGATGGTATCTCCAAAGGGAAAGATTGTGAATCCACAATGTGCCAGTGCAATACATTTTGTGTGCAAACAAGAAAGAGATACTGCTTATAGGCTAATCCTTGTGGTGTTGCACTATACAAATCAATCCACTTAGTCAAAACAATCAGGTGGAAAGAAATATTCCAGTTGAAATATGTCATTAAAGCACTACATGCCAACTTTGCATAGGACATGGAATCAATAACTTTCTTAACAACCAGCAATGACAAATAGTGACGAGACGTATCTGCACCAATTACCTCAAAAAGTCAATCATTAATTTGAAACAGAAGACAGAAAACAGAGTTAAGAAAGATTATTCTATCTTTATATAATTTTCTCCAACCCATGAAGATCCGGCAGTTTAACTGCTATTCCACCATTGAGTTGGGTTGCTGAAGATGTATAATGGCCATAATGGGCAGTAAAACTATATATATATACATATATTTTAATAATAGCTAAAAGCAACACCCAAATGAAGTCCCTAATTATTTCGATAAAAGTCAACGATTACTCTCTAGACATAGCATTTTCAAAGCAAATAAACGCTATTAATCACTTAAGCATGTGGTAGAAGGGAAGTATCTCACCAATTAAGAGGCCTCGATAAGAAAATCTTGGCTGATCAATAATAGTCCACGGGGACATGTGAACTTCAAGGACCCTGCTCGTAAAGTTAAAATTGGTAAACTCAAAATAAACTAGTACAACATAAAGTACCAATATTTTGCAATTTTGTCCAACAGACAATCAATCCCTCGTCACAAGCATAAACCTTCAGGTGTATTTTGAAATTTGCCTCAAACAAAGAACTCAAAAGGCATATTTCTTCTGAAAATACACCCATACGGTATAAGGCTACGGTAGGTACTTTTATATGGTAGGACGGACTAGCAATCCCAATAAATTCGGACTAACCTCAAGATGGGCGTAACCCGGATTTTCTGGTGATGGGACCGTTAATGTGTATGACTCATCAATGCCGCATTGAAGCTGGAACCAAAACCACAACCATATTTCTTCAAATCACATAACCATCAATTGCCTTCACCAAATCATACACTCCTAAAGAAGGTAAAAATACACGAAATCAATGGATTTTGACCCGATTCAATTTATTAGAGTCGATTTTTTTTTTTAAGTTGGGTATCGAGTCGGGTGACAAAAAATTTTCATACCGGATTCTTGTTCTTTTTCTTTAATGCGGTACAAACATCCTCACCAACCCCTGCACATAATTACGACCTAAAGTCCTTTTTTTTTTCAATTAAAAAGCAAAAGTTTGGTAAAATTATTCTCTATATTGAAATTTTAAAAGTTACCGGTAAATTTATAAAGTCATCACAAATTTTTAATTAAAATTAAATAATCAATAGAATTATCATAATATATATTTAAGGTATGTTCGATATACATAATATAATCGATATGATAAGGCTTCCACCGCGCTGCCAAATTTGACCTCTATAAATGTCAGTACAAATTGTGAGGCTCTAATTCAACCTCTGTTTTGATCCGTCATCAAAGGTCTAGTTTAATCCCTCCTTGGTTGGCTTTAAGAGAAAAAGAAAAAAATTAAAAGAAAAGAATTAATAATCTGATATTCCCTAATAATTTGATAGTGTTAAAAATAATACAACATATAAGAAATAAAATTATAATATAGATTGTTCATTTTTTATATTAATACAAAGGCAGACAATTCATCACCCAAATGGAAACAGTAGAGAAGTTTAAACAAACAAATATGGTCCTTTATTTTATTAGCATTATCATAAGGAAAATGTTTGCTGGTAACCTAATGGCACCGCTAATAAGAATGAGAAAAGCATACCGGTATCTTTTATTTAATACTTAGTTTGGATTAGGGGTATATATAGACAAAATTTTTGATGAATTGATCGTAAATATATTTGATTTTTATTTGTTTATTAAGTTTAATAAATAATTTTAAATAATATTATTTATTTATTTATTAAATAAATTGAATACAAATAAAAATTTATTTAATTTATTTATATTTGTAAATAAAATTATTTAAAATTCATTTAAAATTTGTTCGATTATTATTCGTTTATTATTTGTTTATAATAATAATAATAATTTTTTTTTTATTTTTTATCTTAATTTTATTTTAAAATTTATTTATATTTATTTGAATTTATTTATATTCGTTTAAAATTTATTCATTTAAATTTATTTGATTATAATTTATTTATTATTCATGACATATTTGTTTGTATATATTCATGAATATATTTATTAAATATTTAATTATGAGTTCGTTTAATTTAATTAAATTGAATATGAATCAAATATAAATATCTTAATATCTAAATGAATCGAATGAATAAATAAACAAATCGAATATGAACTAAACTCAAACACTTTTAAGAAAAAAAAACAAACTATAAACATATTTTTCATTTATATTATATTCATTTATACTCTTAGTTTGTATTAAGACTTCGTCTAGCATTGTTGTTGACAACAGTTTTTTCGTTTAAAAGCTGCTTTTGACTCTAACTCAATGCTAAATGGTAAATTTTTTTTTTTACTTTTCAATTTAAAAGCTTGATTTTCCAATCAAATAAAAAAAAATTCTTCAAAAGGTGTTTTTGCAGTGAAAAAGTTGCATTTGAGATAATGATTTTATTATCTCTATATTTTTAATATTTTAATATTTTATATATTTTTTTAAACATTTCAATTATTCACGGAAATATCAAACAATTAAAATTTTTAACAATATTTTTTAAATACACTTTTCTAACCTAAAATTTTTTCAATTTCAACATAAAACTAAACTAGCCCTAAATATTTATCCCAACAAATAAATGTATATAATAAACAGAAATAAATGAAGAGTAATTATCAAATATATTAATAATAGAATTTTTAATTTTACAAGTAAAATTAAGATAATGACATTTGTCTATTGGTATACATTTAAGAAAATAAAAAATTAATTTTAAAAAAATGTGATACAGATGTATTATTTTAATTTTACTTGTAAAATTAAAAAATTTTACTGTTAATATATCAAATAATTTTTCATAAATAAAATAAATAATTTATATTTGATATTTTATCGATGTATAATATTATATATTATTTGTACACCATAATTTGCTATGTAATTATAAAAAAATTTAAAATTTTAAAATCTTTAAAATTAAATAATTTTTAAAATTTAAATATTTAATTATATTAAAACAAAATAGTAATGTGGATCATACCCATAATATAATATATATATATATATATATACTATCAAATATGAATCCATAAAATAAAAATATATTTTAATATAGGTACACTAACACAATATCAGATTCAAATCCATGAAAATATATATATATTATAATAAAAATAATCCAATCATTGGGAAGATAATGCAATTCCCAGCAGATAGATAATAAATAAATAAAAAGGAAAACATCGACCGCATAATTCCATTGGCTGCCGACCTTCAAAAAGTAGATTTCGTAGCTCTGCTAATAAATTGCAAATTGTGACGCACATAAAAGCAGCAAATAAAGATTTTAGTTTGTCAATAGAAGAAAATGGCAAGTGAAGCGTCATTGGTTGCTATGGTGGTGGCGCTAGCGTTGAGCAATGCGCTGCTAGTGACTAGCGAGAGTGAGTATAATAAGGTGAAGATATGGCCAATGCCGGCGTCGGTGAGTTACGGCCACAGCCACCTTTACTTGAGCAACGATTTCGAGCTCTCCACTAACTATGACTCTGGACTACTCAAAGACGCATTCAACAGGATGCTTGCTGTCATCAGACTGGGTCATATTATTGAAGCCAATTTCTCTGCCCTCCACCTTTCACCTCTGCTCCGGGGTCTTCATATAGTTATTTCCTCTTCAAACCACCAGGTTCTCTTTTGCTCTCTTTAGTTGTTTATTTGATTTTTTTTCTATTATTATCTTCACTTTTTTCCCCGAGAAAAAAAAAAAAGACAATGATGATGACTTCACTTCACCCATTTTCAGTTTTTTTTTTTTTTTCGCTTTTCGCTAATAAAAGAAAAGGAAAGTAAAGCTGTGAAATTGACGCAAGTTCAAAAAGAAATTAAAGTTATTTTTAATACCAGATCCAGAAATATTTTCAGAATATTCACTTATAATATATAAAATATTGCCAATGCATTTATCAATTTTATTAGGAAAAAGGTGTCAACAAAAATTTTGGGAGGCCTTAGAAGAAAATTTTTTAATAAATTTTCTTATTTTCCAGTTTTCTAAAACGAAAATTTTCGAGTGTTTAAGATAATTTTTTTTTTATTTTCTTGTTTTTTAATTCTTAGGTGTCCATGACACCTCTCACATCATTCCAATCGGCTCTGGTTGTTTCGTTGTCTGAGATTGTGGAGTGTGAAAATATTTTCTTGATAACGAAGTTATTAAAATGTAGTGGGAGTATATGATTTGGTGAAGGCAATTGATGGTTATGTGATTTGAAGAAATTTGTTTGTGGTTTTGGTTCCAGCTACAATACACCATTGATGAGTCGTACAAGTTAACGGTCCCATCACCAGAAAACCCGGGTTACGCCCATCTTGAGGTTAGTTCGAATTTTATGGGATTGCTAGTCCGTCCTACCATATAAAAGTACCTACCGTAGCCTTATACTGTATGGGTGTGTTTTCAGAAGAAATATGCCTCTTGAGTTCTTTTATTCTTGAAGGAGGCAAATTTCAAAATACAGCTGAAGGTTTATGATTATGATAAGGGATTGATTGTCTGTTGGACAAAATTGCAAAATATTGGTACTTTATTTTATACTAGTTTATTTTGAATTTACCTAATCTTATTATCAACTCCAAACTGTTTTGAACAATGCAGGCACAGACAGTTTATGGTGCTTTACATGGGCTTCAGGTTAGTGCCAGCATAATTCTTGTTGCTAAGTCGACATTATTGTGAATTCAAAAATTTTTAGAATATACGGTTTTTCATATAACGTTGCAGACATTCAGCCAATTATGTCATTTTAACTTTACAAGTCGGGTCCTTGAAGTTCACATGTCCCCGTGGACTATTATTGATCAGCCAAGATTTTCTTATCGAGGCCTCTTAATTGGTGAGATACTTCCCTTCTACTACATGCTTAAGTGATTAATGGCGTTGATTTCCTTGGAAAATCAATTTGTAGAGAATAATCTTTGATTTATATTGAAATAATTAGGGACTTCATTTTGGTATTGCTTTAGCTGTTAGCTATTATTAAAATATATACAAATATACGATACTACCCATTTTGGCCATTATACATCTTCAGCAACCAACTTAATGAAGGGTGGAATAGCAGTTAAACTGCCGCATCTGCATGGGTTCGAGAAAATTATATAAAGATAGAATAATCTTTCTTAACTCTGTTTTCTGTCTTCTTTTTCAAAATAATGATTTGACCTTTCGAGGTAATCAGTGCAGATACGTCTCGTCACTATTTGCCATTGCCGGTTGTTAAGAAAGTTATTGATTCCATGTCCTATGCAAAGTTGGTATGTAATGCTTTAATGACATATTTCAACTGGAATATTTCTTTCCGCCTGATTGTATTGACTAAGTGGATTGATTGGTATAGTGAAACACCACAAGAATTAGCCTTTAAGCAGTAACTCTTTCTTGTTTTCACACAGAATGTATTGCATTGGCACATTGTAGATTCACAATCTTTCCCTTTGGAGATACCATCATATCCTAAACTCTGGGATGGTGCTTATTCACCTTCAGAACGATATACAGTGGCTGATGCTGCTGAAGTTGTGAGGCATGTGATTCTCCTCTTTCTCACATGATCCAAATAATAATTACTATCTGACTACTTCAATTCTTTTTTATTTGTGTATTTTTAATCTTTGCAGTTATGCTCAACAAAGAGGAATAAATGTATTGGCTGAAATTGATGTTCCAGGACATGCTCGCTCATGGTACTATATGCTTTCTCCATTCTTAATGTACATTTTTGTTCTTCTTACTAATATGCTTTCTTTTGCAAATAAGCAATACTTTATAATAGATGAAGATGCTAATTTTTTGCCTGTCATAAAGGTTCTTTGGGAATTACAGTTAGTAATCTTTAAATTATGGAAGTATCTGACTGTATTTGCTTATTTAGTGAATGCAAGTTACAAATAAAAGTTAAGCTTTCTGATAATTGACCACGCTTTAAGCTGGTACTTTTAACTATGGTTACATCAACATAGGTACTCTAGAGCAGAGAACATGGAAACAAAATTCTTAGCAATAGCTACTTACCAAAAAAAAAAAATTCTGGGCAATGGCTAAACTACATAATTTCATTTCTTCTAGAAGAAATAAGAATAGTTTCAAATGCTCTTTATTAAAAGGTTATGATGCAACTTCAACATGGAAGGAAATTCTAAGACCATGACAAGCAGTACGAGAGAAAGTTGGGTGCAATAATATATGGTTTTTCTGCCTAGTTCCTGCAAGAGAATTGGAATTAAACAGGAGTTGCTCATGGAACCACTATCAACTTTTGTCAAATGTTTCATTAAATTGTGAGGCCACCATTGACAAAGATCAGTACTAAAAATATCTTGCATAGCCAACTATCTATGTGGTTTGCATGACCCAAATTATCATAAATAGCCAGTCTTGCATTTTTAATCTATACTAAAATACTTGTGTTCAAATACACACAACAAACACGTATAAATATTGCAAAATTGAAGTCAGGATGTGTGTCAACGAATTTACATGCTTTCTATTGGCCTTGTCCTGTAATATTTTGAGTAACTGCAATTTTAATTCTCTAGGGTAGTAGTTATCCTTCTTTATGGCTATCGAAGAACTGTCAACACCCTCTTGATGTCAGCAACTATCTTTGTGGTTTGCATGACCCAAATTATCATAAATAGCCGGTCTTGCATACTTAATTTATACTAAAATACTTGTGATCAAAATCAAACACACAACAAACTCTGATAGATATTGCAAAACTGAAGTCAGGATGTATGTCCAAAAAATCATGTTCTTTCTTTTGGCCTTGTCCTATAATTTTTTGAGTTACTGCGGTTTTAGTTCTTTAGGGGGACTGGTTATCCTTCTTTATGGCCATCGAAGGACTGTCAACAGCCTCTTGATGTCAGCAAAGAATTTACATTTAAAGTAATAGATGGAATTCTTTCAGGTGATCTCCTTACTTTACCCTCAATGTCATTATTTCTATCAAGAAATGACTCTGCAATTTTTCTTTCCTTGTATAACAAAATGAAAATGAAATTCAACTAATGATATTGGAATTCTTGTTTCAGATTTCAGCAAAATCTTTAAATTTAAATTTGTTCACTTGGGAGGTGATGAAGTTAATACAAGTAAGTTAAATCATACTATCTTATAATTCCTACTTGTATATTATTATAGGATGCTAATTATAATTTTTTATTTGAGGCTTCTTTTGGGATAAAACTATTATCTTCCCAAAAATTTGTGTGGTAGATTGGGGCAGCCTTTTCATAGGAGTACTTACATTTCCTTGGATAATCATGATATGTTCTGTCACATACTCCAAACTGTTGTCTTTTAAGCATTTCTTGAATTTGTTACTTTCTATTGTTACAAATAAACTCATTTCAATTCCTTTTAATGTCCAACCAGAATGGAGAAGCTATTTTGGTCAAGCTTATATTAAAATTCTAAATCAACATTCTTTGACCTTCAGCTGCTGATGATCCATATACCCAAAATTCTCTTATAATCTATATGACATCTGGAATAGTTTGTTTTCATACCTCTTACTTTGGTGTCCAAAGCTATAATAATGCCCCCCATAGGAGATAAAGTGAAGAAGCTGACGAATAAATAAAAATGGTGGAATGAAGAGGTTTTATTCCAGACATTGTTGGTTTTCATGCTCAGGGATATTTTCTCTAAGCGAAAACTTTCTAAAGAACCCAACATTTTATTTGTGTAGGTTGATAGATGTCGACTTCCTAGACCTCTGCTGGGTAACATAACAATTAAATGAAATTCTAAACTTTCTCTAGATTGATCTCTAAGGTTATCTCCTAAGAGGTAAACTAGTTTCCAGGGCTCTCTTGTCTTTGTAGAATGATCTCTAATTCAGTCTATCAATATCAAACAAGTTGTCTCTAGGACATAGCTTATGAAAGAGGGCAAGAGCCACATATCCTGTGGACCTATTCATCATTTTCTAAACATTACTCTTCCCGATATATTTGTATACTTTGAAGCGTACATTTATATCTTAATAATTTGAGGTTAATAGTTTATTGATCCAACCACTTTCATTTATAATTTCAGGTTGTTGGACCATAACTCCTCATATAAGCAAATGGTAAGAAGTTTAGGATCTTATGTGTTGATTTGCTGCACCTCTGAATGAAAATGAATATTTACTCTGGTTATCAGTTTATTCCTTTTTACAAACTCTATGGAAATGTTACAATTGTTCTTTTGCAAAGATTTGTCCTGCTTTTGTTGCTATGAGTAATATACAGGTTCTATTCTCTGTGCCCCCATGTTTTAGTAGTTTTGATGTGACATATCTTAGTTCACCTCAGCTAGTGGGGAGAGTCTTAGTTTGTTGTTGATAAAAAATTATCTATTTCATCATTCCTTTGCATTCCTTTGATGCATTCAACACAACCTAATGCTGCCACTGCTGAAAATTTCTTTATAATTGTTCTGTTATTGCTGTAAATAGTGCATGAATGTCATACTGCTAAACTTCTTTTTTTTTTTTTAATTCCATATGATTCATCATGGTATGCTATGAATATGTTCCCAATAACTATTCCATTTACAGGACCTCTTACTTTCTTGCTGCTTAGTTTGTAGGTTACGAGAGCATGGTATGAATGAATCTCAAGCGTATCAGTACTTTGTCTTGCGAGCACAAAATGTAGCTTTGTCCCATGGATATGAAATTGTTAACTGGTATTCATCTTCTAGAAGAGCTATTTAGTCAAACAACAACACTGTATATCCTATTCACATATTGAATATAACAGGGAGGAGACGTTCAATGACTTTGGCAATAAATTGAGCAGGAAGACTGTGGTTCACAATTGGTATGTCTTACTCTTTATCACTCAAACCTAGAGAATTTATGCATTATATTCTTTCTATAGATGTGATGCTGCATTTTTTTGCAAAGAGAGCTTTTAAAAAAATTAAAGGAAATGCTGTCTTTTTTTTTCTCTGTTGCTGACAAGTAATTAAATTCTGTACTGTATATAAAAGTAGTTTAAGGGGTGAGAAGTTTTTGAAGACAAAATATCCTCTCAAAATTCAAATCTATTCTAATTAAATTTATCACTTCATAATTTATAATTTAGAATAACAAGGATCTGTTAAAGGAAGTGAAAAAGTTAATTATAATTACTACCTTTTGGTCATTAAAGGACCACTTGGATAGTTGATTAATATGAAGTTCTTACAAAATGTTTCAAGGAGTTTCCATAGCTTTTTAGAAAATGATATTTGATAGAAAATTAATGAAGTAACAAACAAATTAATATTCGCAGCCCTATTCTTTTTCTTTTTGTACAAGGAGTTATTTTGATATACATATATATGAGTAGGGATCCACTTACACTAGTATAAAAGTCACACTTTTTTTACCTTTGGATCAAAATTAATCCATAACATTTACACAGCCTTTTAGATCCAAAGGTAAAAAAAGTGTATAACTCTTATACTAGTGTAAGTGAATTTTTAATCATATATCTAACAATCCATTTACACTTGTGTAACTCTTACTTTTTTTTGGACACTTATATTAAAATTTTAAATTAAAATTATATTTTTAAATTTAATAATTTTGGTCCAAGGGTTCAAAAAAGTGTAAGACATACACTAGTGTAAGTGAATCCCTCCTTTCACTCTCTCTTTCTCTCTCTCTCTCTCTCTCTCTATATATATATATATATATATATAGGAGGGATTAACTTACATAAGTGGAAAACTAAAAAAGTTTTACACTTTTTTTAATAATTTATTTGAATAGATCTAAAGGATAAAAGATATAATTGAAAATGAGAAAAAATGATTTAATCTCATAAAACTTTGTGTAAGTTGATTTTGACTCCATATATATATATATATATATAAAATATATATATAAATATTTGTAGTTCAGCTTACATCTTTCCATCTAATTTAACAGATATATGATATTTGTGTTTCTTTTGTACATTGATGAATTCTTAAATTTCACTCAAAATCATTATTTTTTCTTGTAACTTTTGGCCTTTATTTTAAATAATTTAAGAAAAATAATAATTAACAAAAAATTCTTGCAACTGTAATAACAAATTTTAATGAATTACAATAAAACTTTATAAAAAAGTTAAAATTATACAAATGAATGTTATATTTTATCTATATAATATTAAAAATTAAAAAAATTGATAAATCTCGATACCTACTTGAAGAGAGTATTACAAAGATTGAACTTTTTGTTTGCACAAATCAAACTCAAGTATTCATCGAGTCAAGCTAGAATAACTCACAAGTCACTTGATTCATTTATACCTTAATGTTATGGTTTTAAATTTTCATTTTTAAATTAATAAAATTGAAAATTTGTTATATTGTAACCCAAATACAAAAATTTTTTGGAAATTCGTGGTTTCTTTGAGTGTTATACAATTCCAAAGCAATTACATTTAGGAAAAATCTAATAAACTGAGCAAAGCATCAGTATGTTTTTGAGCCATGCCTTGTTTAAGTAAACTTGTTCTTAGTAATACATGTTGAAGAAATTTTTCATTTTTTTGAAAAAAAGAAAAGCCTTGGTGCATGGTTAAAGACCGGCCAAAATTTGTATAAATCAGCCAAATTAGTGGACTAGTTTCAACTTTTCAAAATCAAATTTGATCTACTTTTTTACTTTTAATTTGAACTATGATCCTTTTAATTGTTATAGAACAATTAAATGGTGAGCTAAACAAATTATTATTTTTATCTTTTAAGATATTAATACCTATGTTGCCTTTTTTGCTAGGACAGGGTACTACTGGAAAACTTAATCTTTAGTTGTGCCCCCATTCCCTCATCCATTGATAATAAAATGACTCAAGCATATGGTGGAGCCTTTGTGCATTTATTCTTGTACAGCAGCTGTTTAAAAGAAAATGGATTGGACTGGCTGGTTCTATTACAGATTTGGTCAAACTCTGTCCAAGGTTGTGCAAAGCTTGAGCAGTTTGATTTACTAAAATCAAACTTAAACTATTTTACTTTTTAAATGATTTTTTCAAGTTGCTAGATTTGAATTCTCAATCACTCAAATTTTAAAGGACTATCGAACATTGAGCTCAAAACCATTACTGTCAACTTTCTTGTTAAACCGATTGGATCTAGAAATGTTCTCACAAATGGTTATTTGTCCGGTCTGGTTTTTAAAATGTTGATGATAAATTTTATGTTCCTTATTTATACTGCTCTAAAATTCACTTGGAGTGATGCAATACCAATGCTGTAATATATATTCCTTGATTCAAGAGTTCATGTGGGTTGAACTTTTGCTTAAGATTCTTTGGCAGGCTTGGTGGTGGTGTTGCTCGACAAGTGGTTGCATCTGGGTTAAGATGCATTGTAAGCAACCAGGACAAATGGTACTTGCACTACTTGGACACTACATTGCAGGAATTCTATGCAAATGAGCCGCTCACAAATATTACAAACTTGAAGCAACAGAAATTAGTTATTGGAGGGGAGGTGTGCATGTGGGGTGAATTCGTTGATGGTTCAGATATTGAACAAACGATATGGCCACGTGCTGCAGCAGCTGCAGGTACTTAATATAATATATTAACATTAGATTATTTGCATATTATGATGTTCTTGCCATATAAGTAATACTAATACCCTAGATTCTACAAGTCTGAAGTTGGAATTATTAGGTCAGCCCCTGGAGCTCCCATATATAATATAGTGTTATGAGTTTCTTGGTTGGAAAAAATTTTATGGAAAACATTCCACATACTTTCTTTGTTGGTCCAGAAACAGGGGATGAAGTTTATTAGATTAGAGAAATACTTGGTATTTATACTATAACATTAAGGTTTACATGGACAGCTAACTGCAATTGGCGTTATTAGCTTTCCATTCGGAAGTAATTGTTAATTGATTAATAGTAACTCTTATCCTAGGCTCTGGGTTGAATCATCAGAGCCGCAAAATCTTTGATATGCATTTTGATATGGCTTTAAGTTAAATGCTGTATTTAAAACTATATATGGACAGAAGCATAAGCACGACAATAAGATGACTTGCTCAGGTAAACAAGTATAAGCATGCACCTATCTTGATCCAAATGCTTGGGTGACCCTAATTAGTTTTAGTTTTAATTTTATTTTGAAAATTCAGAAACCTAAATCAGAACTTAAGTATTGTCTTGATATTGAGTTTACCTCGCATTAACCAAATTCTTTCTTCTTCTTGTCTCCTATCTAAACTGCAGAGAGGTTATGGACACCCTATGATAAGCTGGCTAAGAATCCAAGAGAAGTAACTGGACGGTTGGCACACTTCAGGTGTTTACTGAATCAAAGAGGAGTTGCAGCTGCTCCATTAGCTGGACAAGGCCGCTCTGCCCCTGAAGGTCCAGGTTCTTGCTATGAGCAATAATTTGCTGATTCACTTGTATCAATTATTCCCCATCGTTAAAAAGAAAAAGGAATTGGTCCAGAATAACTCCCATTTTTATCTCTTACATGGTGGATGTTTCTATAAAAGGTTAGATAATTTCATCAATGGAAGGAAATGTTATTTTCTTATATGCCAGGAGGGAAGTAGTACATGGAGAAATGATCTCTAATAAATCTGAACTTACTGTTTTTTAAAACTCTCAATTTTCAATTTACCAAATTGGGGTAAAAGAAGTGGAAAGGAAATGATTAAATTTTTTAAAAGCTCAAAATAACTACTGTAGCCCTCTTTTCTTATTCAATTTTCAAACAAAAACCCCTCGTGGCATCCAAAAATTTGAGTGAATTTAACAAGTCATGGCATGTAGTGACAATGTCTCCACCATGCCGAATCCTTCATTTAAAGATACAATAAGCACAAGTGTTCAATTCCATATTTCGCGATTGAATTTTGGATTAAGTGTTGGTATTACTCATAAGATTATCAATAAACTCCAAAAGAATAATTGAAGTGTTTTTGGAGTCCAGTTAAGTGCCATAAGTATTACTGACATCATTGTTTTGGCAACTTGATATGATTATCCTATAGCATTGAACGAACAAGTATGATTCGCAACTTTTACACGTGCCAACAACTCAATAGATAAGGAGGATCTTTTAACTCAATGTAAATATTTTAGATTTGAGTTTAGCTTGTGATTTTTGTTGAAATCATCTTGAATGTATGATTTTTAATTATTATTTTAAATTATTAAATATAATATATTTTATTTTGATTTGAAAAATTAAAAAATTTATTTATTTTTTAATTTAATGATAAAAAACTTATACACGTATACACAAAACTCATTGGATAATTTTTTATTTTTTAGATGTTCATGAATTGATTTTTTTTTTGTATTATTATTTTTTTTAGTTAAAAAAATTATAATCATAATCAAATATTACATTTTTATATAAACAATTATTGAATAATTCATTAACAAAAATAAAATATAACTAGATAAATTTAATATAAAATTAAAATCAAACTCATATACTTAGGAACTTGAACTTAAGACTTCATGATTTTAAAATTTATTTCTTACCACTAAAGTTTTTTTGTATTATTTTATTTAATTCATAGAATAGAGGACGAAAATGATAAGATTCGAACTCCTACCTTATATATCTTTCAAAACCTTCTTAGCCATTAAATAAAAAATTTGAAGATAATAAATATAGCTCGAACATTGTTCAAAGTCTTACTTATCATAAAATCAATTCATATATTATTTGCATATTGAAAAATCATTTAGCTATACTCACGTTAAATGATCCTCATCAGGATTTAATGAGCATTTTTCATACACTTAATCAATATCATCATAAGCAATACCTTTAAAGATGTTGAACATACTTCACCAAAAATAAATATAAATATATAAATAAAGTGAACAATTAAGATTACATCCTTTTGAATTACTTAAGACATTAAAACTTAGCATAGAAAGATAAAATTAGTACACGAAAATTAAAAAAAAAATTTACATGCAGTAAAAAAAAATTTATAGAATCGCAAGCAACAAATATTATAAAAGAATTTAAAAACAAAAAATTAACCTAACAATACCCTTTAAACTTCCGATGATACCACGAAAAATAAAAGAAATTACATTGTTCCTAAATAACACGAGTAGCCAAAAGCTAAAATGAAAACTCAATATATTACAATAAGTTTAAATATTTCTTTGTTTTCTTTTTTAATCTTGATATTATTATAATATATTTAATGTCTTTCATACAAATTTATTTTATTACTTTTACGTGAAAATAATTATTAAATATAATATAAATAAATAAATGATGACATAAAAATGTATTTATTCCTTTTTTTTAAATAAAAAAAATTGTGACTCTAGACATAAATGGATAATCCAATAATAAGGTATTAATATATAAACTAATTGAATTTTCAAAAATACATATAAGAATGGCAAGGGAGCATATATCTGTTCCGTTATTTCTAAGATATTATTATTCAAATTAGTTTAATATTTATAATATTTGAATTCATTAAAATATTCATTTAAATTTAATATCATTATCCAAATCCAAATAAATTTAAATAAGCATTATCGTTTAAATATCTAACTCTGTTAAAATATTCATTTATTTAATTTTTTTTGTCAAAATATAAAATAAACAAAAATTTAATTTAAAATTTAAATTAACTCTTAATTTATAATAAGTAAAAGTTAACAATGATCCATAATCATCAATTCATTCAAAATTTTTTATAGAAATTAATTAAAAAGAATATGGATATGCAATTCTATCTATGTGGAAACCTGCCCCTATATTTTATGTTAGACATTTTAATGGATAAATAAATGTTTAGAAAAAAAATTTTGAATCTTACTTTAGATAATAAAATCTAAAAGGAGAACTAATGGCATACTAAAGCATAAATTATCTTAAAAGGTTGACATCATGATTCATGCTATTGCACTAAATTGTTTTGTGGAGCATTATAAGATATGGGTTCCTTTCCCCAAATCTTATATTTTTGCAACAAATCAGATTCAACAAATATTGTTGGTTTAAATTAAATTAATATTTAAGTGGAAGAATTTAGGAACAAAATTTCAATACTCCAACATAAAGGCAGTGCTTGAGACTATATCATATCCACTTTAAATTGTAAATATCCTGTGATTTAAAAGGGTGTAATTTATAAGTTGAGAAAAGTTAATTCTGACTATGTAATTAGAAATACTTATGAAAAGAATAAAATTTGTTATCTTTTTTATCTTTTTTTTAACAAAGAATTATAGGCTAACCAATGAACCAAATATTTCAGTGCACAAATTTATTTATTAAGTACTTAAACAAATATTTGTATCACATTTAAGGAAACTTTTAAAATAATGCAAATCGAAAGGGCAAACCGGAAAGGCACATAAACAACTAAATAGTAATCCTATATGTTAAGAATGCATTAGCAATAACATAATTTATGAGGGATTGTAGACAACCCAACCTATTTTGGGGGTCTACTTTGAATTTTGTTAATAAAAAATAAAAGTAATAAAAGAAATAAAAAAAAAAAAAGATAGTTGAATTTGAGTGAAATTGTTAGAATTGGGTTGTAGGGTTTGAGATGGGTTTAAAAGTTAGAGTTTAAAAGAAATTAAAATTTTTGGCCGGATGAGAATTCCGTTGATTTAAACCTTATAAATACAGACTTTAAGCAACCTTATAGAATACACATACAGAAAATGCAGATAAGTAAATATAAAGGTGATCACGCAAAGGAAAGTCAGAAGGTAGTTAAAAAATTTTGGATAAAAAATTGATTTTTTTTTGAAATTTTCTAAAAAATTTTCATTTTTTCAGTGAATTTTTCAATGCCGGTTGAATTTTTTGGTGAATTTTCCTGTGCTGATTGAATTTTTTGGAAAGATTCTGGCTAAATTCTCAGATCTGGCAAGTTTCCAGTTTTCGGCAATTGATTTTTAGAAACCGGTCAACCTCCAATAAACTTTCAACGAACTTACCCAGATTTTGACAAAAATTTTTAGAATCCGATGAATGTTCAATCGGTGTTCTTGGGTTTGTAGAGAAAGAAAGAGAGAAAAGAAAAGTAGAAAGAAATGGAGAAAATGAAGTCTGATGAAAAAGCCAAAACTTGAAGCTTTTATACCTTCAGGAAACGACATTATTCTGGAGTTTAACAAATCTCAGGATCCGCATGTTTTCTAAAGGGTGACCCGACCAGCGCATCAACCATTTTCTTCGATTCGTATACCATCTGAGCCTTTCAGCCAAGTCGAGCCACACACTAAGCCTCCAAGCCGTCTTTTGAACCTGAAGCCAAGTCACGCTGAAGTCGTTGAAGCCAAACCAATCCTATTTTGGTTTTTTCTATTTTTATTTATTTATTTACTTTTAAAGGTTTTTTTGCATGATTAAATTTTGAAAAATAAAATATTAAAAAAAATAAAATATTTTTTTGAGAATAAATATTAATTATCTAATTATGAAATTTATAGAAACTTCAAATGGTAAATTTTTATAAAATTCTTAGATAAGAAATTTTCTCTAAATTTGTCCCAAATTGTGAAATAATTTAGAGACAGTTTAATAAAAATAATTAGTATTTATTTTCAAACAAAAAAATAAAAAAATAAAAATTTTGGAATTAAATAAAATTTACTAAAGGATGAGATTCTTAGAAATTTCAAATGGTAAATTTCATAAAAAATCTCTAGGTAAGAAAGTTTTCTAAATTTGTCCCAAATAGTGGAATAATTTAGGAAAAATTTCAATAAAAATAATTATATTCTTTTCCAAATAAAAAATTTTGGTTAAAAATATTTGACAATTACTTAAGGATAAAATTCTTAGAAATTTCAAATGGTAAATTTCTTAAGAAATCTCTATGTGAGAAAATTTTTTTAATTTGTCCCAAATGGTGGAAGAAATTAAATAAAATTTCAAGAAAAATAATTATCATATTATTTTCTTTTCAAAAAAATAAAATAAAATAAAAGAGAAATAAAAAAGAATTTCTAAATAGACCAAAATAGTGGAGAATTTAAAATTTTTGAAAGAGAAAATATTTTTAATTTGACCTAAATGGTAAAATAATTAAATATATTTTCGACAAACAAAAAATCAAAGTAAAAAAAATTAAACATTTTTCCTACAACGGAGCCTCTTCAAGAAAACAAATAGGATTCTTGAATACTCTTAAGGTGAAGGAATATTTTTAAGAGTTCTACCAGATTGATGAAAAAATTTTAAAAGTTATTTCCAATATTTAAACAATAAATTTTAAAACAATTAGAATCAAGACGTTATGATAAATTTAAAGTAAAATGGTACCATCTTTTGGATGAGCATGTATAAATGCTATAACCTTTCCTATATGTAACCAAACTCCCTAATCCTGTTTTGATTAGTAAACTAGAATCTATTCTTTTAGGGATCCTTAATCAAGTTTAGAAGCTTCTTAAAAGGATAGATTCATTAGGTGACCAATCACACCTAGTTAAAAAAATTTGGTGACAACTCAATTTGTTAAGTCTAGCTATAGATTTACGGATCTATATGTTATAACAAAGATTATTAAACTAATTAATATTCTTAAACATGGA